CTCCATGGCTCATACTAATGGAGTTTTTTTACAATTGGGGTACAAGTGGAATACATTTTTTAGCACTCTTTATTTGACGCTTAGTTGAAGTTGTAAAATACTTACGGAAGTTTCATTCTCATGAAGACTCGGCATGTGAAGAAAGAAATCAGCACACAGATCATACCAATGAACAAGAGAAGGAAACGATTCAGCTTGGGCATTCCAGGCGCATTGGACTTGTCTAGAATAATAAACCCAATACCTCCCATGGAGAACAGAAAGCTGGAGGCCAAACCTTCCATAATGTATTGTCCATTAACTCTATATGGCATGAAAGCAACCTATCAACAAGACAGCAATAAAACTTTAATAATAATAAATTTWGAAAAAATYGGATYAAMAGTGGATTCCACAGAGTGGCTCTTCTTCCACTGGATTACAATTGGAATTCAGAAGTTGATTTTTATGAAGTGGGTGAACCTGTAGAAGAAGTAATATTTCAAAGCCRACAATGAGGACTGGACRGGATTTCAAGTCTAAGCAATTAGTTCCAGTCTGAGGCRCAKGCAAGGACTGGAACTAACTGYGCGGACTTGAAATCAYGTCCAGTCCGATATTGGAGGCTTTGAAATGACTTCTCATCTCATTAATTATTCGACTTAGAGTAACTGGAACAAAATTAATTCAGTCCTAGGACTGAATTAATTTTGTTCCAGTTACTCCAGACTGAATGCATTCCTTTCACAGCACTTTACCAGGTTTCAAGTAACATCATGTGACCCAAAAATAGCYCATTGATTGGMTGGTTTACTCATGAATTATTAATGAGTATGAGAAGCAACGAGCAACTCTACTCACATACGACATGAACCCAGGTCTCATTGGTAAGCGGTGAGAACTTTTTTTTTCATATTTTTTAAGTGACCATTCTACCAGTTAACTCCGTATGTGGTAAGTGGTGTTATATTTTCAAGGCTTCTATTACCTAAACTTACAATAATTTAKGAGCAACGTCAAAACAACAATCCAAAATAGCGCCCTGATACCAGTAAATACCAATCCCACTCGGCTATATATTTTTTGGAATCTASAGTTTTCATGTGCTGTGATTGGTCAAGGACCCTGTTATATTATGAGACAATATTCACTGCTCGAGCAGTAATTATGAGGTTTTCCAAAGTTTTCCAGAGCAGAAATAATACTAAAACGTTTTTTTTTTATCCTGAATCTCGTCTTTTCTCTGATATAGTGTTATGTGCTGTTAAGCATACATGTACAGGGATGGCAAATTGTTTTTGAAAGTGTAACAGGTATTTTAGAACAATTGATTAAGCACTATTGGATAGTGATAGAAATAGCGCTATGTAACTTATTATTATAATAATTTCTTATAAAATCAACTCACAGGTTTGCTATGGCCATGCTCGTCTGTCGTACTTCCAACACTTGGAGGCTCAACGATTACATCATATATAATTCCTAAAAAAATAATCATTTGATTCCATAAATTTGATACCTAGACCAAAATTCTTGTCTATAAAATGGAATTATTTGATTAGGGATTAAAAATGAATAAAACAGGACTGATTAGAATAGAAAAGAATGGATAAGATCAGACAGGAATCAAATAAAATAGAATAAAGATGATAGAAAAAATAGAATATATACAGCTCTATAAAAAAGGAAGAAAAACAAATATGAAACATCAAATATTTACATCAAAAATTGAAATAGAAATTTCATTTTGTGCATCCTCTTCAAAATCTAAATTATCTTATTTTATTATCTTATTTTACTCAGATTAGAGGAAAAAAAGAAGGCAAAATTTCAGAATCATTAAAGCAACCCCCCCCCCCCTCCCCTCTCTCACTGAATACATTATTTTGAATTGTTTTTCAACATGCATATATTTTAAAACATGAATTCAAAATGTTTTCCTAATACTATAACACAATAAGATTATGCAATAACAGATGTTTTTAAACGCAAAAAGTAATGCACTCTTTAAAAAAAATACGAGAAAGAGTATCAAACTTTAGCCACGTAAGCTTCAAAAACGTCCAACGAAACTAAAAACAAAACATCCTTTACCTCCTGTAACAAGAAAGTAAGAAAGAAGGATTATAGCAAAGACAACCATTCCTGACGGAGCTTTGAGCCATGTTGGTTTTCTAAGCTTGAGGTTTGGGATTTCTAGGACATTGAATGGTAAACCAACTAGAGACTCCATCTTGTTCTTGTAGAGAGAGAAGAAAGAAGAAAGGGTCCTATGTCTATATAAAACCTCTTATGATTGGTGCATATAAGCCAATCACAATTCTCTATCTAATTGTCCAATTGAAACATTCGTTATAAAAATCACGTCAAGAAAAGAAAGGAATCTATGACAATATAAAACCTTCTATGATTGGTAAATGTAAGCCAATCGCATTCATCTATATCGATTATCCAATTGAAAACTTCGTTATAGAAGTCACGCTCTGTGTGCTAGTAACATGGTTGGCGAGTCCTGATTGGCTATTTCAGATAAAGTTTGTCCAATCGAATGATACGTAAGAACGAAATCACTTTAAAGTTCCACGTGATGTAGACGGATTGTGATTGGTTGTTGGTGGCAAAGCGCTATTTTCAAATCAGATACACGAGATTCCTTATTTTCTTGTAGACGTTTGGAAGCATCAACTACTGTTCAAGGTAAGCCTTTTTATTCCGTCTTCTCTTTACCGATCGCTATCCTTTTTGCACAGATACAAATCATGAAGATTACTTTCGAAACCTGACCCTCGTTTTTTAAGATAAATTGCGACGAAGGTAGAGAAAAATTCCTTTGAGTTTCAAGTTTAGCCGTTGGATCTCCGCCATGTTGATTGTTCTTTCACATGCAGCTAGAAATTCCTAGTTAAATTCAAAAAGGATATAAAAACTGTACTAAAAAACTCAACTAGTCTTTAGAACTATGTTTCTATGAAGTCTACGAAAATAAGAAAACAAATCGGGCTGTGTTGATAGTAGTTTAGCGAAGTTGTCTTCAGGAGCAGATTTCGAACTCCTTTCAAAAGGATCAAACYCTAATATAAAACTGCTTCTTTGATCTTGTCAACAAAAGATTATTCCCGAAAGCCAAAAATTTTTAATTTTTTTCAAGACATCATTTTATGTTGTCTTTTTATGTTTTAGGTAAGTTTTGATTCGCACTCCTTCAACATGACTACCATGGAAGATTTTTCAAAGATTGAAAAGATTGGAGAAGGTAAGTCGTATTGATAACTGGTTTCCTATAACAGTTAGCTTGTCTTTTATGATTTGTTAGCTATTTTTAAAATTATTTCTTCGTGCTCTAGGTACATATGGAGTAGTTTATAAAGCAAGAAATAAAAAAACTGGTGAACTTGCAGCGCTAAAGAAAATCCGTCTCGAAGTAGAAGAAGAAGGCGTTCCCTCGACTGCAGTCAGAGARATTTCGATTCTAAAGGAACTCAAACACCATCCTAACGTTGTTAATCTTCAAAATGTTCTTCATGAGGACTCGAAACTTTATCTTGTATTTGAATTCCTTACTTGTGATTTGAAAAAGTATTTGGACAATACACAAGGACATGTTGATAAGATGCTCGTCAAGGTTCGTAAAAAAAAACTTTATCACCCTGCTGTACGATAATAATTCTAAAGGTCTTTATTGCCCTTTATTTTTTTAGAGTTACCTCTACCAGATTACCAATGCTATGTATTTCTGCCATGCAAGAAGAATTCTCCACCGAGATTTAAAGCCACAAAACTTGCTGATTGACTCCAAGGGTCTTATAAAACTTGCTGACTTTGGGTTGGGAAGATCTTTTGGRATTCCTGTGCGCGCATACACCCATGAGGTAAGACCTGAAAATTTGAATTTACTAGAAAAGTTGAGTTTTTGAAAAATGCRAGGAAACTGAGCAAGAAGAGTAAAAAAGATGAGCTTGGGTGGAGGTGAGAAATGTGTTGTTGCATGGGCAAGACATTCTGCTCAAAAAAAATAGGGGAAAGAACATAAAATTTATATTTTACAACCAGCACTCGCTGTACGGGGCTCTTTTGTAAGGTTCCCTCCACAAACACTATCATTACATTCTATATTAATTTACAACACACAACAGTCAACTCACATGTTGATTTTTACGGAGAGAGGAAACCAAAAAACCCTGAGAAAACGTTTGTGGCAAGGGAGAGAACAACACTTCAAATAAACTCAACTCACATCACTTAACTCAGTCTGAGCCAAGACTTGAACCCTGACCACAGCAGCGAGAGGTGAGCAGTATGCCACTAGGCCACCCATGCCACCCTGAATTCATCCCTGTGCTAACTAGTAAACATTCTAGGGAATGGCCAAGTTTTGATTTTTCGTTATCATCTATAGGTTGTAACTCTATGGTATCGTCCTCCGGAGGTTCTTCTGGGCAGTCAACGTTATTCATGCCCCATGGATATCTGGGGTGTTGGATGTATCTTTGCYGAGATGGTTACGAAACGACCACTTTTTCATGGTGATTCTGAAATTGATCAACTATTCCGTATTTTTAGGTAAGTGGTGGTTAGCTTGAGGTGGTCCATTGTCAAGTGAAGCTGTGTTTCTCAGAATTTATTAGTCTATTGAATTTCACATTTTACTCTGACAAAGGACTTGAACAATCAAAAAATTAATCTAGTTCCAGCCTGGGTTTAAGTTTCCTACCCATCTAAAAAAAGTCCTTTTTTCAYGAGGGTAGCACTTAATAAACAGTGGCTAACAAACCTGTGGCCCTCATTCCATGATCGAATTKGAATTTAGGAATTGATTTTTGGGGAGGGAGGAAAACCAGAGGACCTGGAGAAAAACCCTCGAAGCACAGGAGAGAACCAACAAACAACTCTACTCATATACAACACCGAGCACGGCGGGACTTGAACTTGGGTTGCACTGGTGAGAGGCGAGCGCTCACACCGCTACACCACCAGTGCTTCCCTACTTGTCGTATTCTACACATCAACTCAGTCCCAAAGAAGTACCCGCTTTTACAAATAAGATATCACACACCTGAATTTATAACAGAATTATTCAATAAACAATAAAATTTGTCTTAACAGAATTTTAGGGACCCCAACAGACGAACACTGGAAAGGCATTACTCAATTGCCAGACTACAAGAAGAGTTTTCCAAAGTGGGAAGGAATTGGTCTTCGAGCAGCTGTGCCAAATATTTGCGAAGATGGATTGGAACTTTTAGAGGTTGGTAACTTTGTAACTTCATTTCTGACATGTATTTTTGGGTCTCATGAGGAAATATAAATTTGAATTAAAGAAAATTCATGCTGCATTTTGGTAGTGGTAGAGTAAAATGTCATCATGCAAACGGCCTATTTCGAACTGAGTTTCACTCATTCCCTAGAGTGTTATTTCTTTCTAAACTAATTACACTGTCTCCTCTCCCTAGATGATGCTCAAGTATGATCCTGCCAAACGAATTTCAGCCAAAAGAGCCATCAAACACAGATACTTCCATGATCTTGACATAGACTCCCTACCACCAACACCAGAAACGTGGTCATTGAGTTAGAACACTCAAAAAATCACTACATCTAAAATATTCAAATGCTAGTTATAGTGTACATAATATCTTCATCTTGATACTGTATACATGTACCAGAATTTCAGTCCCTCCGACTGAGGTTCTAATGATTTTCTTTTGATTTTTTCAATTTTAACTGTACACTAAATATCAATTTTTATTTGTAATTATATTTTGTTCCAATTTGTATTATGTTATTCATAGACTGTTTCTTCTTTTCTCTTTATTCTATATAATCTTTGCATATTTTTTGTCTTCTATYGTAAATAACTGTCTTTATCAATGAAGTATAACAATGAATGCTTTAGAAGTTATTGAATAACTTTGAACTAAAACATTAACTAAGTTTCAATTTACTCTTGTGCATTTATGAAAGAAATATCCTCAAGGAATATTCACAATACTCCTATTTAGGGTTCACCTTTGCTCAGACTTAGCCTTTGTTGTGTACATTTAATGCTCTTGTACATACTATGGAACGAGTTGATTAAAATGCCAGTTTTTGGTTGAATAGCTAAATATCATAACGCACAACCGAGACTAAGGCTGAGCAAAGAGAACTCAAAGCTGGAGTATTGATRGGTTTGTAAGATCTAAATGAATATCTTTTTTGCAGCTTTTTCCCTTGGAAAATTTCAAGTTTGTATTATTCTTCCCTTCATAAACCTAGCTAGCTAGCTACAACTTATAAATGCTCTCATGGCTTGTCCCATCTTGATCAATATCTATTATGCTGTATATCCATGTTTATATGACTTTGTTCAGCTAAATTAAAGRACAAAAATGTTGAATTTATTTTCAGCTTCACTACTGTATCAATCAATATACACATATAGCCTTATATAACTACAAGTAATGCAAATTGCGTTATTTTTTTGTAAATATATTCCTGCAAATAACAAAGTTAACACTATAATTAAAATCTCCAAGTGGCACAAATTGACAAACAAGTGTAGGCATATAATAGCATAAGACGTAAATTATGGCCAATGAGCGTGCCAGATTTATGATATTCACTTATGTAAAAATACTAAAGTGCTGACAGTCTGTTTTGCATCTCATTGCAATTTGAAATGTGATTAGAATGATGTACTCAACATCACTTCCATCTTACTCTGAAAAAAAAAACACTTGCAAATTGGGAAAAAGAGTTTATTCGAACGTCTTTTAAAATCACGATGCATACAACATCAAGGACCAGCACCACAATTCTTCTTTTCAAAATATTAATTATTAAATCCATACACTTTAATAAGAAGTACATGAGAATATTATGTGTATGTGATAATCCAGTGATTTTCCTTGGACTGTGAAATAGTCAGTACAGGGCTTAAAATAACTGCAGGACATCTGACAATTATAGGGACCTTTAGATCCAACAACGAGTATGAGATTGAGTACGAGTTTTAAAATTGTTCCTGTGCATGTGGTTAACACTAAATCGTAGTTGATTCCCGATTTTTTACGATGTAAAGTTTCAATCTACGTACATGATCATGACTACAAAAAGATAATGCCTCGCTTTACAGCTGTAAAAGTTAAAACCTCGTACTTGTTCTTGTACTCGTCATCGCATCTAAAGGTCTCTAATGTCCACCAGAATTGACCCTTCTCAAAAGTATTGTGGATGCAAGGATGGAATCCATGGCATTTCTTTGTATTTCCATGTTAGCCTTGCATTCAAGACAATTTTAAGAAGGTGCATTGGAACTTGTCCTGTCAAATTTTTTCTTTATCAGTAATTTTGACCAGGTAATGTTGACTGCCAGAATCGAGGTATAATAAAATTATATGACAAAGCTAAAACTAATTAGGCCTGTCATTATGGCTGGTGACTTACTGACTAACTTTAAGCCCTGCAGTAGACTATTAGATGAGGTAAGTACATCTTATTTCCATAGCTTTGACTATTATACAATAGAGGCTTTGCGCCAGCATGTGATAGCAGTCATGACAGGAGGCATGACAATAGAGTCTTTCCCCCCTTGTAAACTGAATTCTACCTAATGTAAATCAGCCTCTTGTCATGGCTGCTATCACGTGATGGTGCAAAGCCTTTTAAACTTCTAACTCTTTCCACAGTTAAACAAAATTACCCTAGCTATACATATGTGAGGGTTACACTAAAATGAAAAAAAAATCCACCAAGAAACTTGAATATTATTTAAATAGATATTCCATTTTCTTTCCATTTGACCAAAGGACTTGCGTTCAACGCACATCAAACTATTCAGACCCTAGTTATCAGCAGTTATTGAAAAATTGTTGTAAAAATTGAATTGAATTTATTGCAGACTCATATTATGTGTCAATTATTTTATGCAAAAGTAAAGCCAGCGACATGATAAGTGTTGTAGACCTTCTCCATGGCAACAATGTAGGCAGCTGTTCTGATGTCCAGTCCAAGGTTGTATTCTTCTGCACATCTCATTAGTTGCTGCAGGATTGGAAATAAAAACATATTAAACTTAAAAAAAACAATAATTCATGAAGGAAACACAATAGAAATCATGACCATGAAGGAGGTTTTATATCTGATATAGATTCGTCTTCATTTGCATAAACTTTAACTTGGATTTTCTCTATCAAACTTGGTTCATTTCGTAAAGAATTCAGTACAATATGAGAACATACATCATCAGTTTTTTAAGCCATTCAGGGTTCTATCTGTGAGTTAGCCATGCTCTGACTTAGATCAGCCCAGAGGTTGTTTCAGGGTTCAATCTGTGAGTTAGCCATGCCTTGATTTAGATCAGCCCAGAGTTGTTTTTAAGGGGTTTATCTGTGACTGTTTAGCAGTGTACTGACTCAAGGTCTGTTTATAAAATACTCGATGGCCATGTAGTTTACTCCATGTATAGGATAAATTTCGAACTGGTGCCAATATATTCTATAAGTAATTACTCGTCTTCCCTTTAACAATTTTCCATTTTATGATGATAAATAAATAGCTAACCTTAGCAGATCTTTCCATGGTAAATTCTAATCCAGAGTGGACAATGTCTCTCTCTGATGCTCCCTGAAAAACAATACAAGACCATTAAAGATGCTTATACTTTGACTAGTGACTGTAAAATGACGGCAGATATTATTACCCAGTTACCATACTATTTTTATTTTCATGTACTTGCTGATCAAGCAAAAAATTATAACAGGTTTATTAAGGAATGGTTAATACTTAGTGTGTGTACATATCAAGTTCTGGATGCAAGGCGGGAGGTTAATAAGCATGAAAGAAGCGTAACAGTCTTATGAGGCATAGCCGAGTGCAACTCTAGCTTCTTGAGTGTTTAACAACCTCCCAAAGGTCATTCAGATTTGGATATACGCACAACTGAGCATTGAGCATTGCTTTTATAACATAGCAAAACCTTTGAAAAATACAATGCACTACTCAATTATGTCAGTATGCACTATCCATTTTTAAATGCATGCTCACGCAAGCTAATTAACCAATCAGAGTGCATGTCATATCGTGGCTACGTTATAATGGACAATATAATATAAACAACCATCAATCAAATGAATCACTACATTAGGAAAGGTATATAAACCATAACTGTAGAAAGGTACATGGAAATAATTCATTTGCTAGCATTCGTGTAACCTTGTGCCCTGAGTATGTGGCCTGAAGTCAGGGAGATAATATATTAAATAAAATTTAGGTTTACTTACAGAAATTTGCTCCTGGAAAGCTGTAGATGGTCTGACTGGTATTGGTCCTGAGCCAAAATGATTTTCTAAGCTTTTCTGTACACTCTCTGTATACAATGAACAAACATAAAGATTATAACCATATTGTTTCGAGTCTCGCCGGGCTCAAGATGTGAGCACAGTTGTTTGTTGGTTCTCTCCTTATACTTTGAAAGGTTTTTCTCTTGTTTTTTTTTTTTTTTTTTCCCCTCACAAAATGAACTAATACAAGAAACTTGTCAAAGCATGCGAAAGAACCGACAAACAATTCTGCTCACATACAAGCCCAAGACCAGCAGGACTCGAACCCGTGATGCATTGGTACGAGCCAATTCAGTAGCAGCACACAACACCACCGTTTTTATAATAAAGAACTATTATTATCATATATAGGTGAATAACAAAAATGAGAACAAAAGTTAAGTACTCTAACACCAATCTTCTAAATGCTAGTACATCAGATTTGAACCTTTTGTACAACTAGGCRTTTAAATTTCTTCTTATCCTGGTCATTTGTTGCATTCAACACACCCGTGCAGTCCCAACTACTGTAGTATTAGCAGGTTAACCACAATATTCCTAATTATTTTACCATTATTMATATTGTGTTCTTACCCAATAAATGGTAGTTAGACTCCTTCTCATACTTCCATGTCAAACGTCCAAAACTAACATGATTAATGTTCTTGAGCCATTCAAAGTATGACACTGTTACACCACCAGCGTTAAGATAAAGATCCTGAATATATCATGGAAAATAGTTGTTATAGATCAACACTTCAAGGAATGAGGGGTACCATTTAAAATTGTTAAAATTGGGAAGCATGGGTGGCGTAGCAGTGAGGGCGCTCGCCTCTCACCAATGCGATCCAGGTTCGAGTCCCGACCAGTTCTGAGCAGTGTTGTATGTGAGTAGAGTTGTTTGTTGGTTCTCTCCTGTGCTTCAAGGGTTTTCTGGATTCTGTTAATCCCATTATTATTATTATTATTATTATTTATTATTTATTATTATTATTATTATTATTATTATTATTATTAATAAATCCTGGTTCACACTAAAGTTGGATTCCAAAACCAACTTACGTAGACTCATAGTGTACTCACCGGAAGGACAAGTTGTTTATTTTCAATAAATATTTTATCAGCTTCAGGTGTAGTTGGTCCATTGGCACCCTCTGCAATGATCTGAATAGGATTACAGAAATTTCATGAATATAGCAAATACTAACCAATGAAAACTTCAAATAGACTAATTGAATCCTCACTGATTGCTGATCAATGATCATTATTGTTAATCCTTAATAATCCTTAATAATCATTACCTTTGCCTTAATCCTAGGGGCATTCTTCTTGGTCAGTTGTTTCTCATTTGCGGCAGGCACAAGGATGTCACACTGTGCTTCAAGTAGATTTTCAGCAGGCTACAACAAACAATCAAACAAAAGTAAGTCCACGATATTATTTTTATCACATGGGAAGCAAGGGTTGCTTTATAGTGGAGAGAGGGCTTCCTCTCACTAATGACACCTGGGATTCAGTCCTGCTGGTCTYGGTGTCCTATGTGAGTAGAGTTGCTTGTTGGTTCTCTCCTGTTTTGTACCTGTTTTTCTCTGCCACAAAATTCAGCTTCTAAATGTCATYGAAATTCAGTGGATGAAGAGCCACTCTGGAGAATGCACTGTTAAGTTCCACTTATATATTTATCACATAAGATAATGTAATGTAAACACGGTATACAAGATTCACAAGTAAATCTCAGGGGCGGATCCAGGGGTGGTAATATAGGTGACTAGTCACCCCCCTTTTCCTCGAATTTCTCAGTATATCGTTAGTAACAGTCACCCCCTTTTCCTTGAATTCCTGGTAAAACCTTTGTAATATAGTCACCCCTCTTCTAAAATTCCTGGATCTGCCCTTGAATCTTCAATAGAAATGTTCTTACTTTGGCACCAGGGAAACCAACTATTGTTCCATTTTCCTGACAAAAAATAGAAGAAAGAAATTTTTAGAATTGTAGAGCTTCATACAGCAGTTTTTACCTCATTACACAATCCCCATAGTTAGAGAGTTGCCCCTTGAAATTTGGTTTGGCTACGGATTATTTAACAGAAGTAAATACCAAGTTTCAGCATGTCGCCAAAGGGATGTTACTCAGTGCAATTTCATTCTGAAACTTGTTCCCRACTGAAGTTTCAGTTGCACAAGTAGAAAGCAGTTCTACTTTTTGTGAAACTTTCTTGCAACGAAAGTTTCACAAAGCCAAAATTGCACTGTGTACCGTATGATACTGGTTGCAGTATAGTTTCTGATTTATAAGCTTACAAAAATAAACTGATTTCCTTCAATACTATTACTTACCAACATGTAGTTTTCCAGTTCTTTGGGATCAATCCCTTCAGGGTTCTCGATACTTCCATCTCGTTCAATGACTCCCACACACCTGGCACCAGCTCTGTGTAGATATCGGCAACTGTGCAATCCGACATTACCAAATCCCTGACAAAATCAAAGAAAAATCATTTGTAACCCTCCTATGCTTTGATGATTTTTTCCAGGTTCTCCTTTTTTTTTTTTTTTTTTCCAGGTTCTCCTATTTTGACCCCCTCAACAAAAATCAATCACGTTTGTACGCCACTGGCTGAAAAACCTGCTTAATCACTATCCACCACCACAAGTTGTAGACACTGAGTTTCACTGGTCGGCACTAGGGTTCCCCCCTCCTTAATAAGCTTATTCCACCTTATATACTATGCTTTAAGAGTGCTTGTTATTAACCTAACCTGAACAATGAAAGTCTTGTCTTTCAATCCAGGTTCCAATCCAACCATGTTAGCATATTTTTCTAAGATGAACAGCAAGATTGAATTAATGTCATGTCTCGAAGATGATTACCCTACTCATATGTCGACTTTCATGGCTATCTAAACTTCACTTTCTTATTAAAGCACAGGGGTGGATCCAAGGAGTGGCAACTGGGGGCTGAATCCACCAGCCATCAAAATTTTAGTTAAGTTTCTTGAAGTGGAATAAAAAGCATAAATTATTTCGTACTATGTTTTCAAGTTCTGTAGTATCATTTGCCAAAAGTGGTAAAAATATTTTTGCTTGGATCCGCCCCTACAGCACGATAACGTGCGGGAAATCATACAATTTGCAGTGCCTCTTGACGAAGTAGGTTTTGGTGGGCATCAATCAAGGCATTTCTATGACATTCCATAAGCACTGGCCCTTGATAACTTTGTGTTTTTTAACTATATGATGGAAACACTTTAAATGACATCCACTACAACCCTATTTTGTTGCAACAGCAAATGGTAGGATTTCACACTAGTGATTGAGGAGTGCTGTAATATATCAAGACATACACTTAAATACATTCCATGGATTCATTTTGACTGTATACAACTACGGTCACATGCATCTCATGAGAATTAAGAGTTGTCACTGATTTAGATCGTTCACTGTTGTTCGTTCATTGAATGTTGGTCAGCATTGAATGCCACACCTCTTATGATAGTCCACTCACCAGAATCAAGGAAATTTTGAATTCCATGGAAAACTCCCTGTTGAATAATTCAAAGCAAAGTGTGAAACAAGTTAGCATTGTCTTTAATGCTACATGCTAATCGAGACAGCAGTTGCAACATGGAAATAAGACAATATACTGCTTTCATTCAAATAAAACCATACAGTACGTAGGTAAAGGAACATTGAAACAACAAAGAGGGACGAGAAAATGATTTATTTGATTGACAGCAGTCTATTGGGTGATTTCACAGAGCACAATGAAACAGTCACTACAATCTCATACCCAGAGCCCACGTTCCTCTTGGTCAGTACCGAGAAACGAGAGGCTCTGGTTGTAACCGATTTTTTGAGCATTCCTATTGGTCCGGGGGGAAAACAATAGAAAGATTCGTTCCGGAAATAAAATAGCTAACAGACTCAAAAATATCAGGAAATAAGTGGATTTTTCAAGCACTAAATTGGTTTGGATCAAACTCAAAATTTGCTAGAATGTGGTACGATAATCAATCTTTCGCATACCCRAAGTAGATCAGAAGGAGACTGGAATTTAAGCRAATTTTCACGAGGATTAGTATGAGTCGAGTTGGCGGCCGATCACTCTTGCATTTGTCGTGATGATTTGAACTCAAAAAAACGTGTTAAAAACTCACAAAAATAGCACAAGCAGTTAGTACTCGGGTGAAAAATTTACTAAATAAACTATAAGATGGCAAAGGATAAATAATTTAACTTCTATATTCAAGCTAAAAAGGTCAAAAATTGATTACCGTTTGATCGAAACAATTTGAATCCCTGAAGATCAAAAGTAGCCCAAACATCAGCTTACCTGTTATATTAAGGCATGCGCAGTTGAAACTTCTGGTCCGAAATTCACGGACCGGAAGCCAACTGAAAATCGGTTACAACCAGAGCCTCTCGTTTCTCGGTGCTGACCATGAGGAACGTGGGCTCTAGGCACGAGATTGCAGTCACTAGTAAGGATTAACTTTTTATTGAATTTAAATTTTCTTTATTCTTACCCTTCCAGTGGCAGACACTCTTCCGTGAATTCCACCCAAATGGATTGGTTTGCCAGTCACTGATGCATATGCATTCAAGTTACCAAATCCTACAGAAGTACGCACATACCGTATTAACTAGTTTAAGCATCACCCACAATTAAACGCTGCCCTCAAATAAGAGCAGAATTTAAGAACAAAATTGTTAATGTGTAGTTCCAGAAATTATCCATACCCACCCCACAGAGGAATTTGGAATTTCCGAAGAGTAGGGGGGTCAGGGAAAGGACAAAAATTACAGAGTTTGTGTGGAAGAAAATTGTAATTTCCAGGGGACAGGGGGGTGTCTTTAAAATATTCCTCCGTGAGGGGGGTATGGATAATTTTTGGAACTACAAAATAAGCACCACCCATGAATAAGCACCTCTTTTATCCATACAAAAAAACATTGGTATTTTGTATATTTTAAATTTTCGTATTCACTTTGTATTAAAAATCATTGGTTACACAATCATGATGTATATGGTAATAGTTAAAACACATTTTTTTAAAATTAAGCGCTGACCTTTAATAAACGCCGCCCTAGGATAAACGCCGCCTCAAATTAATGCCAAATATGAAACCCAAAGTATTTTATAAGTGCCGCAGAGTTTAAACRACTAAATAGGGTGTAGGAAAAACTTCAAAAATAAACAAGTTAGGGACAAAAATATCTAAATAATGTACAACTGTTTGACTTTCTTTTACATATCACCCCAAAAAACAACTTTGATAAGCACAATTTATTACCAAGTGTCATGTCATAGGAATCGGCCATCCAGCTCATTTCTCTTGCGCCGGTACCCATGTCTGGTGCTGGCACGTCCATTCCTGGTCCAATGAAGTTCTTCTTGGCTAATTCCATTGCAAATCGTCGAGTGATTTTTTCTAATTCAATTTCCTAAAAACATTAAACAGAAAGATTTTTGGAATTTTGTGTAAGTGGAATACATCTTCTTCTAAGAAATATTTTTTCATCTTAATTATTATCATTCTTAACTCTTATTTTCATTGCATCGTTAAACAATATTAAATAATAATTAAGTACACTGTAATATGAGTCTGGGTCTTAGAGAAATCGGTGGATGAGATGTGTGTTATTTCTCTCTTGTTGCAAATACAATTCACCCTTTCGGCGCTAGCCATCACGTGGTATAAATTGTTTGGATTGTGTTATGGTCACCAAGAAGTTCGGACATTGTTCTTGGATTTCCGTACAAATGTGCTGGCTTTAAAYGAACTATTTACTTGGTTTGTTTAGTTAGTTCTCTAAATACAAGTAAAATATCATTTTTCTAACTTGATTGAAGCTTTTCTTACTGCTGTTAAAAAAGTGTTTATGACAAGACGGCTATTGCCGAAAAGGTGAATTGTGTTGGAAGCCTTGGCCGAACCAACACTCAGGGTTTCAAAATATCCAAGTRGCATCTGCTTCCTTTGCTCTAAAATATATGATTATTATATGACTATAATAACTTACAGAATATTCTCTTGGGTCAATTCTGATGCCACCCTTAGCGCCACCAAACGGCACATCTACCACAGCACACTTGAACGTCATAAGTGTAGCTAAAGCTTTCACCTCATCCAAGTCAACATCTCCACTATACCTGATACCTGAAGGTTAAAGTAAACATTAATACTATGATTTCCACTATACTATTCAACAATTATTATTATTATTCACCGAAGGCAAAGTGATTATCACTGGATTATATTTGTATACAAGCTGTGAGTCTTCCAGAGGTGAGCCAATTTCAGGAATTATGACGGCAGAGCCAAGAGGTAATACACATAAAGATAATTCAATTTAAGTGCGGACATTAAAAACCAAGCAACAGTTCTATTGTTTATACTTGCTCTTCGCCAGAAATTTCTTGAAAAGTAAACTTTTTTGCCACATTTTTATCCATAGTTTCCTTTTTTTTTTCATATGTTTTCGTAGTAAATGATTTTTATATTAGTAATTTTCTCTTTATTTTACTCCATTTCCATTTTACCCTTTATCATTTATAATGTAAGAGTTAATTACCTCGAACGGAGGCAATAAGCCACATACATCCCGAGGGCCGCAGGCCCGAGGGATGTATAGGCTTATTGCCGACGTTCGAGGTAATTAAGTATCTTATTTATCAATTGAGAAGGTTTTCTATCAAATGTTGCTCATTATAAATGCAAACGGTCTATATATAGTTATCAACCGAGTTAATAACTATATATTGACCTCGCATTTATAATGAGGGTTATAATGAAAATAAAGCCTTGTGAATAACAAAGAAAACCGCGTCAATTGATAAATAAAATATAGATAGATCCCTATTTGGTTTGGCTGTCAAGTTTGGCGGCATCTTGTTCATGGGGCGGCATATATTATTTTACATTCAGCTGCATCGCTGCGTTGTCCGCATGAACGTGTTGTCTCTGAGCTTCACAGTTAAATTTACATATAGTTCATTTTAATCTTGATGTAAAGTTTTATTATACTATAGTCAATTTCTCTAATAAGTTCGTGTTGATAGTTGTTATTTCATATATTTTTTTATCAGTGTATCTTACCTCCTTTGCATGGCTTCCTATGGTGGCTGTGCTGGGCTCGGTATCCTCTAATCATTTCATACTCTCCATTGTCACGCTTGATTGGGAACGTCACAGACAACACATCTTGACATGGTTTCATAGTATCAAGGATTCCTAATGTATATTTTCAATGTATTAGTTGTGCTTTAGAGTGTAAGCACTACATACATATATGAAACATTAGTGAATATAGCAGATTAATAATTGATTAATAATGGCAAGTTGCCGCCATATATTAGTTTTAGCTTAGTCATACCTTATGTCTAGCTCACCATCACTAGTCAAAATGACCGGCAAAGCAAAGACTTGACTAGACAAGTTCTATTTCTTGCCAGACATGCATTGTTATATATATTGGCCATCACCATTATTATAAGCACTGTTTTAGTACTAAATAGAACTGATAAAACAATAGGAAAAAATAGGTATTGCTCTATTTGGTTCTATTAAGTGCAAAATAAATTCAGTACTGTACAAAGATTGTACAAGACCTGGCCTAGCTCTTATATGAAGATTTTAAAAGAATTGCGTTAGATTATTGTTGACAACTTTCTTTAAACCTAGATCGACACCATTAATAAACAAACAAGTAAAATTCATGGATAATTCCAAATTTCAAGCTTTTAAGAATGAGTATTAACCATCTGATCAAGAAAGTTTGAATTCAAAAACGATATTCTTTGAATGGATAGAATTAATAGAGTCAATTATATCAAGGATTAATTTTTCAAAATCGTACAAAGTGTTTCAAAAGAGACGCCGATGAACGTCAACAAAGATGACAAATATTAGGCAATCGCACATCAGAAAAGCGTTCTCAACAAGTGTAGATGACATAAAGTCTCGTGAGGTCAATAGTCATATCGAAATTTAAGAGTTTCTCTGTTCGATAAAAGTATGTTTTTGATGTGTAAAACAACCTTGATATCGAAGAAACGACTGTGTTTAATAAGCCTGCAAAATTCCCGTTTCAACCCAAAGTTAATCGCGTCTGTTATCTCTTTTGAATTCAGATTGTACTTTAACCAAAACATTGTACAATAATCCTCGAAATCTTGATATAATGAAGTCTTTAAGGAGATTCTATGGCGTTTCTGGTTCGTATTTCTACAAGTGAATGTCGATGACTTCACGTGGCAAATCGAATGCAAAAAGCCGGTTCTTGACAACAGAAAGAATGCGAACGAAAAACATCTAAAAATCTCAACAAACCTCGAATCTTGTGCTTCCTGTTCTCATGAGGAGCCCGTTTAGTGCCCGGAGGTTCTGGTCGTGTTAAAAGCCTGTGTTCAACGTAGGTTCTTGCTTTATCTAAGAACAGTTCACACATTTGAGTGAAGGAAGGTTCCTCGCCTTGACCGGCCTCGGTACTTGAAAGACGAACTGAGGACACAGTTTTGGCGATCGAAGCTGGTTTAATACTCCCAGGCAAGCTTGGACGCATGAAGCGCACACTTGACGCCCGTAGCATTGTAAAAGGTTGAAAAAACTAGGGTTTTTAGAGTGATTTTTAGATAGTATTGCGGCAGAGAGACAAGTAATCCAAAGATATGATCTCACAATCACGTACTTAATGGCCCAGGATCACGCGGTAATAGAACCATGGGAGGGGCTGGGGGCGTGTCTTGCCTTATAAGGAAGTGCGACCGGAAGTAAATGTGAAATTAGAAGTGGAAGGGGAAGTACGTCACGTGTTATTAAGTGCCTGTCTCACAAACTTAGTTACTTGGTGGGGTATAGAATTTTTTTAAAGACCCCCTCTCCTACCCCCAGAAATTCCAATTTTTTTCCATAGAAAGTCAGTAATCGTTCTTTCTCTAACCCCCCCACTCCCCCAGGGGTATGGATACTTATAGACACTTATTCCTGGCCCTTTAGAGACCATTATAGAGGTTCCAGTGTACTTGTCTATGTCAAGTCCACTGTTGGATGTCAAGGTTTAACTGACTTGCAGCAATATGCAATTATATATATATTTCAAGTGCATGAACTTTACAATATTCATTTCTATCAGAAAAAAAAAACATTCAAAAATGTTCATTACTATCAAGTGCAATCCTACATGATTTCGTGCTGATGAAATATAATTATTCTACTAGATTCATTTCCATATGATAGAAAATAACATTCATTTACTAATACACTCAACAAAATTACTCGATTCTGATTGGACAAGAGGAATACAATTAAATCCCAAATTGTACTCAGTGCCAATTAAGTTGCTCAATTTTGTTGAGCATATTGTAAACAAAAAATCGCACAATCTTCTCATACAATTCAGAATTGATACTGTACTCGTGGTGTTTTGAAAGTTTCAAATTGGACTCGTCTATAAAGGGCTCGTCCAATTTTGATAACTTTCAAAACATCACTCGTACCTTTGTATTCCAAATTGTGCATGGGGTCATGTGATTACCTATACAATTATAATCAATTATATATACATTGTTATGAGTACTTTTGAGAATGACGCCTGATGACGTCGAAACGTTGAGAAAATTGGATCAAACTTGTTGCCACAAATTTTATAATTACAGTACAACTTGAATTATATTCAACTAACAAAATCTAAATAACATTGATTGATTCTGTAATGTATTGCTTTTCAGTCTTGCCTTTTCCACTCTTTTTGGCATTTAGTTGTACACTTTACAGCGTTTTAATGGATAAAATCTCACTTGGTTCAGTGATGAACATTTGAGGGCTGTTTCTTAGTTTATCTGMTCATAGCGGTCAGCATAATCAGTGAAAGTACTGAACACTCCGCCAGTTGTAGTAGAATAATCCGATTCAGGACTACTTCCCTTAAAGCACAAAATAGCACTGAAGACAGTACTCAGAAGAGAAAGAATAACTCCAACGCAGAGCAGTATCGTGCGATAGTACTTATTCTCCGAAAAAAGCCCTCCGGTGTAGTCCTCAGCTTTATTGTTGCTATTACTATATCCGATCATTAGGCCAAGGAACACCAAAGACAACAACGTAGTTAAGAGAGAAAGAACAAAATGGCTGTACTTTATGACGTATTTTAGGCAAACTGAGTTCTGGAAGTATTCAGCGACAAGGCAGAGACGAAGTGCAAAGTATATTCCTGTAAAGATGAGCAAACAGCCGTTGACTAAAGCAGCCAGGAGGAAGACAAGGAAAGGACAGGAATGATCTTGTTCTGCTCGAGCTGTTCCTATTTCCCATGACCAGCAAAATGTGGAGTTCGTTTCTGGCGCATTGTTGGTCAAAACAGACAAAACTGTAATGAAGCACACTTCACTTAGAAGTGAAAAAACGAAAGCTAAGACGTATAATGCCCTAGTATTTATTTGTCCCATCACAGAAGGTTTTTTTAAGTGGAAATTTTGGCTTGGAATCTTCTTGTTTTGTCAGTCGTGCTTGAGCTCCCAATCAAACCGGAAGTAGAGATCCTGCCTCGTTAGGGTGCTGAGAGCACAGGTAGCCCAAGCTAGTATCGAAACTTTGGGAGTTCTCCAAAGTTCATCAATAGGACCCGGATTTAGGTCACTAGGAATGAGAAATAGAATCACCAACATGGGATTTTTACTAGGTTCATCACTGGGACCATTCAGTTAGGTCACAGGGAATGAGAAATAGAATCACCAACATGGGATTTCTGCAAGGCTCATCACTGGGACAATCAGTTAGGTCACTGGGAATAAGAAATAGAATCACCAACATGGGATTTCTGCAAGGCTCATCACTGGGACCATTCAGTTAGGTCACAGGGAATGAGAAATAGAATCACCAACATGGGATTTTTGCAAGGCTCATCACTGGGACCATTCAGTTAGGTCACTGGGAATGAGAAATAGAATCACCAACATGGGATTTCTGCAAGGCTCATCACTGGGACAATCAGTTAGGTCACTGGGAATGAGAAATAGAATCACCAACATGGGATTTCTGCAAGGCTCATCACTGGGACCATTCAGTTAGGTCACTGGGAATGAGAAATAGAATTGCCAACATGGGACTTCTTCAAGGCTCATCACTGGGACAATCAGTTAGGTCACTGGGAATGAGAAATAGAATTGCCAACATGGGACTTCTTCAAGGCTCATCACTGGGACAGTCAGTTAGGTCACTGGGAATGAGAAATAGAATCACCAACATGGGACTTCTTCAAGGCTCATCACTGGGACAATCAGTTAGGTCACTGGGAATGAGAAATTGAATCACCAACATGGGACTTCTTCAAGGTTCATCACTGGGACCATCATTTAGTTCACAGGGAATGAGAAATAGAATCACCAATATGGGATTACCCCAAGGTTCATCACTGGGACCTGGATTAAGGTCACAGGGAATGAGAAATTGAATCACCAACATGGGATTTCTTCAAGGTTCACTCTGGGACTGCTTAGCTTTTTTTTACCATTTAATTTCTCATAAAGAAATAATGAGCACAAATCATTGTTTTAAAATTTTCACTTTATTTGTTATAAAACAGAGAATGCATCCTACCTACGTCACAGTCTGTGGACTAGCTAGCCTTCCTTTAAGAATTTGTTTAACATTTCTAATTTCTAACTTATAAATACTTTGATATCTATTGCTTCCATTCCCCCAATATCTATTTGGTATACATTATATAGATTATTTTCTTTCGTTTCTGTCCTTGATAATACTTTTGATGATGGTCAACTTGTCTAATCTTTTTCATTCGCAGAACTTTTACTAAAAAAAGAACGAACTAAATTTTCCCATTTCAGGCCATGTGTGATATCCATATTAGTGCATTTTCTCAAGCAACACTAATACCAGAAAACTCAACAAATAATGTACAATGAATTACACATGGTCTGAAAGGGAAAAACAGTGAATTTATCTATTGCTGTTAGTGTAGAAAGATTTAGCAATAGCTTGATTGTTCTTGCTATTTCTTTGATCAACATAAAAAGGATTCGAAGTTATTTTGTATGCAACTATCAATGTTATGCCAAGAGATATCAACAGACTTCAGAAGGGACTTGGGCAGGTAAAACCCATGGCAGACAGATTGAAATTTAGAGACTTCCGAACACGAAAATGTTACCAGGATCTTACACTATTGCCCACTGGTTTATAACTTTGAACTCAAAATGTGGACCAAAGATAGAGAATTTACATCTGAGATGTGCACATGATGACTTGACCCTAATCTGTGGTATAATTTAAACTCCTAATAACATTGATAGGTGCATAAACTTTCTTTATTGCATGACTATAGAGGCTTTGCACCATCACATCATGGCAGCCATGACAGGAGGCAGGAACGATTGAATCTAGTCTAATCTGATTTACATGAAAAGAATTCATTTTCTCAGGGGAAAAGACTCTTTTGTTGTGCCTACTGTTATGGCTGCCATTACGTGATGGTACAAAGCCAGTATGACCATAAATGTACTGGCCTTTGTAATAAAAAATGCGATGGTCTGTCATGATCAACTAATACTCCTTTTTACAGTACTGTCCAGTGACCATGAAAAGTATAGCCTGCGTAAAGGCACTTCAGGGGAGGGGGTGAGGGGAGGGGGTGAGGAAAGGGAGGGGACTCACCCTCTTCCCCCTCCCCCAAAGCACCGCTATGCAGGCTATGAATAAAAGTTTCCAGTCGTCAGTTGGAGTTGCTGGACATTGTAAACTATAGTTTTGTTATGCGCAGCAACTCCAACCTGGACTTGGAACTATTTCCAAGCCATGCTGTTATTGCTACACACGTCCCACAATATTAATTTTGATGTAACAATAGCAGGACACTATAGATTTCGTTCTTGGTTGAATTCTTTTGTTCTAATAATACAGTATGTCTTACTAAAGTAATTATAATCAAAAAGATGCTATCATTAGTTGATTGGAACAGAAGAGTAATAAGCCAGTTCATACTTCAAGAATTGTTTTCAGTGTGCATGCCATTTTATCCAGAATTTCTCACTTTCTTTAGTTTAATTAACAACAAAAGGTTTACTGCGGTTTTCCATATTCTGCAAACTCAGTAGTTGCAAGCTGCACGCTGGCTTTTTTGCTGCCATCAATCATAAATAATCAGTCAGTACCTTTTATGTTGTTGACTGGCGGCAGTGAAAAGCCAATTTCACAACAAGCTGTTGATATGTTTGAGTTCACAGAATATTGAAAAATCGAAGTAAACAAAACATGCCAAATTTGGGATAAAATCGCATGTGCTCTGAAAACGATTCTTAAAGTATGAGCTGGCTTATTGAATGAGATTTATAGATATAAAGTTACAATAAAACTATTAACGTATAGGTACAAAAGGGTCAGAATTTTATTGTCTAAATCTAGGTAAGGCATGATGAAAATCCTGGGAGTCAAATTTTTATGCTGTACGATTCGCTAACTGCTGTACAATAAGGTTATAGCCCTTGGATTTAGGTTTGGTGAAAACAACTCAACTCAACTTAGATTTTCATTTATAGCCAAACTTTTAATTCAATCACTATAGATCTCTTACAGCACCTTGGAATGCAGTTCAATCTTGGGGACAAAACAATAGGTTCCAATTCTTATGAGAATGGAATTCTTTAGTTTTCCCCCCAGATCGAGCTGATTTGACGTCACATGCAAGGGGTCTATTGTGTAGTTTCAGAAATTATCCACCCAACAGAGGAATTAGGAATTTCCGAAGGGTGGGGGGGTCAGAGAAAGAACAAAAATTACAGAGTTTGTATGGAAGAAAATTGGAATTTCTGGGGGTAGGGGGTGGGGGGGTTTAGAATGAATTCCTCCTTGAGGGATATGAATAATTTCTGGAACTATAATTTAACAATTCTTGAACTTTCAATTACTGATTTGGCATTTTGTTACAATTATTTCTACGCTCAAGATAAAGCTTGATAAAGAGAAATAAATCAAAATACTAGATATGAAATTAATATTCTTAATACCCCAATAATGATTATTAAAACTATGCCAATGTTCAAAAAAATTGTAAGAATTCCAGATCAACGCATAAGAAAAAATAATTTGAGCTCAATCAATCAGTGGACAGATTAAAACTAATTATTTTGATAAAAATAAAACTAAGAATCTCAAGAAAATGGATGAAAATCAAATGGAAGGAAGAAACTAAGACAGAACGATAATCATGCATATATGTATAAATCTATTTACAAAAATAAATTAGAATTTGTTAAGAGTGTTTGTCTAAAACATTCAAGCACAGCAATACATATTATGCAGGACCGAAACCTTCGCAATCTTCTCAACTAATATAAATGTGTAAATTATTTCCCCTTGTCCATTCATTCCTATCAGTCTGTAAACGGATGCCATAATCTAAAATTATTTGTATAATAATCATTATTATTTCTATCGACAAGTCCAAAGCAGAGCTAAGCATCATTGTTATTATTATCATAATTTATATGCATATATTAACTGCATTTACCGTTTCTGCCCAAATATTGGGACATTAAGTTGTATACCATACATTGGGAGAGAACATAAATCTGTGAACCCAAAATCTGTAAGGGGCTGGTTTTCTAAGTAATATTGTGCTAAATACTATACTTCTATACAAGTTTTGAGTGTGGTCATAGTACTAGTGGAAAAAGGTTTTGTTCAAAAAATGGTGTTAATTTTGTGCATAGTTCTGTTCAGAATTATCAGGCTGACATGGCACTGTCAGAACGATAGTATTTGTGAAAATGACCGTTAATGACTTCCTTATTGTAAATACTACCACCACTTTCACCCTTTTCGAGAATCATCTTGGCAATCAGGATGACACTCAGAGCAAAGTGCTTGGGAGTTCTTATTGGGGTAGCTATTTCAAGATAAAAGTTGATCCTGATTGGTTCAATGCACACATGGCCAACCAATCAGAAATGATTGCATTCAAACTCAATTCTGATTGGTTCAACATACAAATAACAGTGGCCAATCAGGAACAATAAATTTTAACATTTTCAACCATTCATTTCTCAGCAGACTCAACAAGATTTTTTTCAGAGTGACAGGAGTGCCTTTGAATCCTGTGAATGTACATAAAGAATTGATGCTTGTTATATATGCCAAACTGAATATGCTTTGCACTTATCCTGAAACGCTCCACTATATCGGGACCACCGTACGTAGGCTTTAAAAGAATGTTCTCTCTCTCTCCCCACTATATAAACAACTATGATATGAAAGTAGACAGACAGACAAACTCACCATATAATCATCGAGATACTATCTATCTACATAAAGATGGGTTATGTATTCACGTTGGTGAATGAGTATTTACAGACAATAAAAAGTGATTTGTTTTAAAGTGTTCTTTCAAGTAGAGCACTGTTCGGTGTTTGAATCAGAAGTTCTCATACATGTGCTAATGTGTCCAGAAAATAAAAATAAATAAAACTGTTACAACTATATTTATTATGCTTTCTAATATTTGTATGTTATAATAATTTTATCTGAGAAACTTCTTATAAATCTAATATTCATTTAAACTTGGGTTAATAAGAGGTATAAATGCCTGCCGCAAAGCTTTTTTTGAGCATTGCGGCATCATTTTCGTTGTACATTTTGAAGTTTATTTATATCTCAAAGATCATTGACCTTCATACCACCTCATGAGGTAATGGCTAAAAGGGAAGAGCACCTGAGGAGAGATCTTGAAATACCTCTGTTTCTTCATTGTCTTGACGATTTAATCAAACATTGATAGGATATCTTCGTGTGGATCTGGATCCGAAGGAGTGAGGTACGAAAATAGTTGCGATGGATCGAGGTTTTCTGGTAAGTCCTACAAAATAAAAAATAACAATAATTAGCAACATTTATGGCAATATTGCAACACTCTTTAACATATTGGAAGTATAAACTTTGACATATTCAAGATGCATCACTCAAATCATACGAAATTTTTTTACCATTCAAATATCACTTTATTTAGAATCAATACTGAAAATATTAAGTTATGTGGCATAGGCACTTTAATCTTTTACTTACATCCAGTGTTCCTTCAAATTCGCCATTATCACCAGAGTTATGCCCCACTAATATAGACTGGTCAAATTCAAATTCATCAGGTAAGTTTTCAGAAGTAAGATCAGGAGCAGAGTTATCTGTGTTCGAGCCGCAGTTATTTGTTAAAGATGGTGCTGATGAAGTGATTGTTTGTTCGACGGAGTTGGCAGTAGTGGTGTTGAGTGTTGATGTAGGATTACTGTGATTTGTTGATGATTGAGAAGATGATGGTGTACTTGGGTTAGCAGGACTATGAGAAGTGTCTCCTAGAGAAAAATAAACAGTGTTAATATATTTTTCAGCAATAATACTTGAAAATACCATGAAAACAGTCAGGGCATGGCTAACTAACAGAGTGAACCCTGAAACATTGTCTGGGCTGATCTATTTCAGGGCATGGCTCCCTGAACCAACCTCTGGACTGATCTAAGTCAGGGCACGACTAACTCACAGAGAACCCTGAAACAACCTCTGGGCTGATCTAAGTCAGGGCATGGCTAACTCACAGATTGAACCCTGAAACAACCTCTGGACTGATCTAAGTCAGGGCACGACTAACTCACACATTGAACCCTGAAACAACCTCTGGGCTGATCTAAGTCAGGGCACGGCCAACTCACAGATCAAATCCTGAAACAACCTCTGGATTGATCTAAGCCAGGAACAGATAACTCACAGATCATTATTATTTAGTACCTGGATTCTGGTTACTATTAGGCCCATGTTGTTCAGTCTTAATATCAGTGGGTGTCTGTCCAGGCGGTGTGGGTGTTGCAACACCTCGATTTGAAGAAGGTTGAGATGATGAGTAAGGTGAATAATGCGTTGTATTTGACTGTTGAGAGGTGGGGTTCATTAGCGATAACGAGTCTGGCGGAGATGGGCGGAGTTTCTTTGATGGTGGAGGTCCTTGACAGTCATCTTCTTGTTTGATTTCTTGTTTGACAGCCATAGGTTTCCAGGTGCTGTTTGGGTCAATCGTTACTTCCTCTATATCTGACCTGTTAAGAACAACAGCATATCATTGTCAACATGCATGTCTTGTCTTGCTTAAATTATTAGACCATTAATCTTTTGAGTTACAGCATAACATGAGAGAAGTGTTAGGAGAAGCACGATGTATAGCGGAGTGCTTCTCAACACTTCTCAATTGTTCTGTTAATCCCCAAATGCTTTATAACTCCACACAGAACAGTGAGCAAGTTTTTTATTTCTTTCATAAAATACAAATTAAATGAATGACGAAATTGAAAGTGCACATGCATGCTGTGTGCTCCCATAAAGCACGGGCTCCCAAACAATCAGTTTGCAAGTTTTAAAGCAGTTATTTTATAATTCAGTGTATAAGATATTGAACAAGAACTTACGAAGCAAGCGAAGTGAGAATTCCCCATACGAACTGATCGACTTCCAAGCCTTCCAGTAGTGCAGTTTTGCTGCAGAACAAAAAAGAAACTGTGAGTGTACTGGGCTAATGGCTGGTCTACAATTCAAAAACACTTTTTCACAGCTCTTCAGCATAGTTAACCTACTTGCACACAGGACATTTCCAGCTCCCTCTTTCACAGTTCAGCCTCAAGTAGGATTCCAGGTCAAAACACTTTGAATTAAAAAAAATTGACATGTTTTTCAGTTTTCACTAAGGTGTAATTTGCCAGTGAACTGCTAGAGTGAATACCATACACCATTATAAAAGACTTTGTAAGAAATTGCACAAATCTGCACAAATTAGTAAGGTCTAGTAATTTCATTGAACTATAGAACTACAAAACTTTGCACTAATTTGTATAATTTTGTTAGTTAACTTTTTCACGAATATATGGTATGCACTCTAGTAGAATATACCACTGTTTGTCCATTTCATATTTCTGGCGACTATTCAAAAGTGTGACTCAATGTACTCTACCGACTGAAGACTTATTATTAGCTGGGAAAATCTTTGTAGTTAGATATCACTGGAGTTTTCCTCACCTGGATATGTTTACATTCATTGCCTCGTGCTGGCAATGTTATTCGTCTAAATGTTATAGGACACTTGAGGGACACTTTGATTGCTGTTTGTTCTACGCCATCATCACTGCTACTGGTAGTCGAACAAAGTGCGAAATTCTTTTTCACTAAAAGAAAAATAATGCAGTTATGAGATATTTATTAATAATCTTGATACCAAGGTCTTATCATAAATGTACTAACACCCTAGCTAGGATACCCTAGTAAAAAAAAACATTTGTATTTCATGACCATCACTCCTCGTAAGGGGATCTTCCATGAGGTTCTCTCCACTGGCACAACCACTACATTCTATATTTACAACACTCAACACTTAACTCACATTTGATTTTTAGGTAGGGAGGAAAAATCACAAAACATGCATGAAAACCTTCATGACAAGGGAGAGAACAACACATCAAACAAACTTAATTTACATGTAGCTCAGCTGGGAATTGGACCAGCGACCCCAGGTGTGAACTGCACAGCGGCAAGAGGAAGTGCTGTAGCAGTTCATGCCACCCAATATACCTGTCCAATACTCTACCGACAATAATTTTGGGTGACGTGAAGGAAGAAGTGAATCATGGATGGTTTGATACTAACCTTTGGCTATACAATGCTCAGCAGGAAGTAGCCGTTTGCGTAAAAGACTTTGTAATACCGAACTAACAGAAGGTCGATGGACTAGTTGAAGGACGAATAAATGAGACTAAAAATAAATAAAAAAGGAATAAGAAAGCAGATTTAAATGGTTGAATAAGGATGAATATGGGAAATGAAAATGGGATAAAGAATGGAATAAATGGGAAATAATGTACAAAGCATGGAAAGGCTTAAGAATGAATGAGGTTAATAATAAAATAAATGGAATGAATGGATAACTAAAGATTTTGAAATAAAATAGAAAAAAATCAAGTGGTGAGTCAAGCTCATTAAGTACGCAGAATGGACCCTTCATATTATCATTGAGGTGAACCTAACAGGAGAACTTAAAAGAAATCAGACTTTTGTTCAATATAATTTGTAACATTTCTATTGTATTTTCATGTTAGCCTTATTTGCATTCAAGATCATTTCAAGAATGATCGATTGAATGACTACTGCAATACATTTATGTCATGTACCAACATTACAGAGACTAGCAGTTGATTGCAGTCTGTTTGTCACCTTGCCTTCAGGATGACCTACACTCACCGTTAATTTCCCAGTAGCTCAATGACAGTTAGTCTGACTATAGTACTGAAGGTTGTGAGTTTGAATCCCATCTGTATGTGAGTTGGTATTTTATATGGTTGCTACAAATAGTTTCAGTTACAAATACTGCAATATTGTTCAGTACTTACACAACAGCAAGCAGTAACAGTGATTTGTATTGTATTTCTACCAGGTTTACAGACAGTTTTGAGATGTAATGGCTTGTGGGCAGTTTTATTTTCTCCCTGTAAGAAAATCAATCCATTTAATCATCCAGTCACTGCATATGAACATTTAGAGAAAACAGGGGACAACAAACACGAAAAAATGTTAATGATACCTTAACCACTGGGTTGATCAAAGTCAGGAATGGCTTATAGACTGAAATCTGAAACAACCTCTGGCTTGATCTACGTCAGGGTGTGGCTAACTCACAGATTGAACCCTGAAACAACCTCTGGGCTGATCTAAGTCAGGGCATGGCTAACTCACAGATTGAACCCTGAAACAACCTCTGGG